TTGCCTATTATTTGTTGATTAATTAATTGATCTGTGACTAACAGTTTTGAATTTTTTAAAAAAATTTTTATTTATTTTGAATAGTTTGACTATACCTTAATATTCACTTCTGTGCAGTGTTGTATGTATGCATAATTGCAAGGGAAATTGTTCATTATAGGATACAGTTTTAAAGGACATATGAACCAGAGAAAAATCTGTAGCAGATTAGTGGTTATCATGTTTTAGAATTCGTTGTAGCAATTTCAATGAAATAGTACCTGTGCAAATATGCACAATTTGTCTGACATGGAATTGTCTTTGCTGCTGCTGTTAACTGGAAGATTTCGATGTTCACATAAACACCCTTTTATAATCAAAATTCTTAATATTTTTCCAAAGATTATTTTTCAGGAATACACTAAAATTGGTTCTAATCTGAAATATTTTTCTATTTTCTTTAAATACAATAGTTAACTCTTTCCGCTAACTCTTTTACTTACTCATTTAATCATAAAAATCACTATTTTGTTGGCAACGTAATTATTTTTTCAGTGATTAAAGCCCCCACTATACTGAAATTGGATCTGATAATTTGCAAAAGTGGCTATCTTTTATAAATTGTATCTGAGAAGAAATGAAATACAGAAAGAAAGAGTGGAGGGGAAAGAGATCTCACATGGTTTGCAATACCATGGTTTTTAATAGGTTCTTTTCATTTCTCTTGAAAAGTACAAATGGAATGTAACATCTCTTTACCAGTCACTTTATATGTCACTTTACCAGTTTTGGAGACTGTAGATAAACTGTCGTTCTGAGTGTTTTATCCCAAGATAGGAAACTTGAAATTTGAGCATGGGCTATCTTATTTTGAATTTGTATTTTATTCTGAATCTGCTACAATAACCAGATACCGGAAAAGTCTTGTTTTCACTAATGTCTGAAATAAACCTCACATCAGAACAGTAAGCACCTGAGTCATGTGATTAACCAACGCTGACTACTGTACCTGGAAGTAATGGTGGCATAAACAGTGTAAATGCTTTCTGATTTCACTCACACTTCTCTTTGTCTCTTACAGGTGTTAAAATGGGTAGAAGAAGCAGTGCAGGCATCCAAAGTTCATCTCTTATCCACAGATCATTTGGAAAAGGCTGTGAACACTTGGCAAATTCCTTTTGATCCCAGCCTGAAAGAGGTTACTGTGTCACTGAGTGGCCCTTCTCCAATGATTGAAATTCGCAATCCTTTAGGTGAGCTATATCTAAATTCAGATAATAAAATACAAAACCATGGAGGGTAATGTACCTTTTGCACACTTTCTTAATGGCAAGTTACTGTTGTTAGGTGCTGTTGAGTTGATTCCGCTACATAGTGAAATCAGAGTAGAACTGCCCTAGAGGGTTTCTATAGGCTATAATCTTCATGGGATCTTCGAGTCTCTCTCTCACAGAGCCACTGGATGGGTTCAAACCTCTAACCTTTTGGTTAGCAACTGAGTGCTTAACCATTGTGCCACCAAGGCTTCTGATTGCAAGTTGATGCTAACTTAATGAAAATATTCAATAAACTGAGAAATGGTTAGTGAAGATACTTAAAGAGTAAAGCAGATTTTTTGTTGTTCCTAGTTATTATTGACTCAAAAGCTATTACTTTTAATAGTTTAAAGAGAAGAGATTTAGTAAGTTAATTGTAACTGAACTATATTAAGAAGAAATATTATAAAAAAAAGTTCAGTGTCTATTCAGAGAAGATTATCAAATATTGACTACATATAAGCTCATCAGTCTTAGTACCTGGTATCTGTATTTGTATGTGCTATAAAAATGTCCATATACAATTTAAATCTAAGGGGGCAAATTTAGGATGACTCCTTAGCCACAACTAAGCACCTTGAGGGAGTGAGTCACTGAGGCTCTGGGCTTGGGACCATGGTCACAGGAGATAGAAAGCTCAATTGGCACAACATAGTATACAAAAATATTTTTCTACATTTTATGCCAGTGAGTAACAACTGGGTTCTTAAAAGCTTGTGAGCAGCCATCTAAGATACAACTATTTGTCTCAACTCATCTGGGGCAAAGAAGAAGGAAGAAAATCAAAGATGCATGAAAACAGAATGTGCAAAGGACTAATGGACCATGAGAACCTCAACCCATATGACCCTGGGACTAGAAGATGCCCTGCTGCCACTGCCATCCACTTTGAAAGCGATCAAAATTGGAGCTCTTGAATAGAGTGGGAGAAAAAATGTGGAACAAAATTAAAAAAAAAAAAAAAAAGAGTAGGTTTATTGGTCAGATAGACACTGGTGAAACCTCCAAGAGTATGGTCCTCAGTCACCCTTTGAGTCTGGAATTGAACTCACTCCCATGGCTTAACTCCCAGCCAGACACTAGGCCTATGAGCCAAACAACTACACAAGGAAGACGTACTCCTTAGAACAATCAATCATGGAATATCAGAAAGGCAGCGTTTGCACAGGGAGAAAGGTAGGAAGGCAGGAATGCATAAATGAAGGATACAGGGAAAGGGTAACCACAGGGAAGAAGTGGGAAGAAAGCTGTTGTTACACTGTGGGGAATGTAGTCAGTGTCGCAAAACAAAATGTTTATTAACTGTTGAATCTAAAATGAATTTGCTTTGTCAAATTTCACCCAAATCACAATAAAAAGTTAAAAAAAAGAAAAATAAAAAATAAAACTTAGTACCTGGAAGAATACCTTGAACAATAAGCATCTGTTTTATGAATGTACATTATATTTAAATTGAACCTAAAATTTTAATTTCCTACTATATGTATGAAGAAATATTTCATAGCAAGTTTACAATATTTTATGTTACTTTTAAATGAAATGCAAGAAAAAAACTTTTAAGACAATTGTCTAAATTTTCACTGAATCATCTTGGAAAGGGTTAATTTTACAGAAGACAGTTTTTAAAAGTCAAATTTATGCTTTACTAGAGAAATCTTGATTTACTTTGCATTCATTTGAGTCTTAGGAAATAACTAAAACCTAAAAGAAGCTAGCATTTGAAATTGTCCTCAGAGGTCACATGTATACTAGCAAGCAAATTGAAATTTAAAAACAAGCAATATTTTTTAAGACTTATACAGGTTTGGCCTTACAAATGGATTTGTCAATTGAGGCAGGATTCCACTCTAGTTATATTCACGCTCCCCAGTAAAGACTTGTTTTTCCTACTAACAACCTGGATACTTAAAAGTACCTGGATCCATAGTGTTCTTCTTTGTCCTTTTAAAAGTCATTATGTATACAATGATTGTAAAACTTGTTATGCCAATATTGGACTGTTAAAGTAGTGTATAGGAGAGCCAAGGGCACAGTGAATAACTAAAGTATAAGTTAATTTTAAATACACTTTTCTACCTCTGTAAATCCCAACTGTTAGATACTTTAGATAAACCTCAAGTCAGTAAAAAAAAAAAAAAAAGAAATTCACAGCCATCAAGTCGGACCCAACTCGTAGTGACCCCTCCTTGGGTTTCTGAGGCTGTATCACTATGGAAGTAGATTGCCCAACCTTCCTTCCAGGAGTGGCTGGTGGGTTTGAACCACCAGCCTTCTGGTTAGCAGTCAAATGCTTTAGGCACTACACCACAAGAGCTAGGAGGTGGTATCACATTACTTGGTTACACTGCCTCTTTAATTACTACTATGCCTCTTAAAAGCTGTCTCTTGTGCTTGGTGGAAAACTAGTTAAGGTTTTGTACTTGGTACAAATACATACTTAGGGTCTACCTGTTAGTAATATCCTGAATGATCTCCAAAAAAGACATTTATTCCGGTTACTATGTTTGCCCTCTATTTGTTTGAAATGTCTCTAGTGACGGCACATTAATTCTCAGCAGTAATTTTTATCTAGACTGGCTTCGGAAACATGATCACAGTCTTCCAAGAATAATTCTTATTTAAAGATCAAATCAGCATAACAAAGGAGAATCTGTTACTTTAGTTCCAAAGGCCAGAAATCCTATATAAATAAAAATAAAATTTTTTTCCATATAAATAAAATAACATTTTGAGCAACGGACACACATGACTATCAGGTAATAAGTGGAAATAGAGCACCCTTCACTTGAGCCATAGGATACAAAATGATCATTCTTCAGCTCAGTATGCAGCCCACTTAAAATGTCTCTGTGTTATTTGAAATATGATCATACTCTTAGATTTATGTAGTGTTAAATTAACTAATAGGCATAGCTGAGAGAAATATTATGCTTGTTTCCTTTATGCCTGTCTTTCAGGGAAGCTGATAAAAAAGGGATTTGGCCTGAATGAGCTATTAAATATCTATAACTCTGCCAAGGTGGTGAATGTCAAAGAGCCAGAAGCTGGAATGTGGACAGTGAAGGTACTGTTACTTCACAAAGCCTACTTATTACTCTATTTTGATGATGCCATGTTCTAGGAAGTGAATACAATAGTTTACTTATGTCCTGTCTTGCAATTATGGAGAGCACTTTTAATAAGAAGCAATATACATCGTGCATTCATAGGAGGTTTCTTGATCACTGAAGTTGGCAGTGTTAAGTTTTGATGATTGTGAAGTGAAAGCTATCTATGCCACAAGAAGCACTCACAGCTCTCGAATAGTTTTCCTATCATCAAATCTATAGGTTGATTTATTCTACTCCTGTGTCCTTAACAATCTGAAACGGGAACAATAGAGAGTAATGCTTAGAGGTATAGACTGGTGTGGAGCTGCCTAGGTTTGAATTTCAGTACCTCCACTAGAAAGCTGTATTGCCTGGGGACATGACTTCTTGGTGTCTTGCTTTCCTCCTCTGTGTTGTGGGAATGAAAATAATATTCCTTTACTTCATAGAAGAACTGTGCTAAGAATTAAATTAAGATAATGCACACCAAATACTTACCATAATTCCTGATACAGAATAAGCCCTCAAGTAGTGTTGGCTATTGTTATACTTCGTGGATCTAGATCTGCCATTTTCTTCAACACAAAATTGTATTTCTATCCTAGAAATTATCTTAAATGACATATATTCATTCTAAGAAATCATTGCATTTTAGCAGTATGGAGAAAGGAACACACACCCCAGATTCAGGAGACCATAAACTTGAAGTCTAGTTCTGCTACAAATTATGTGTGACCCATGGTAGTAGATGCTGTGCATGCCTTGCTCATTTTTCTCAGACTTTTCAGTTTGCTCTGCTTCTTCTGGCTCTAATACCTGCATCTCTGAGGGTTTTATTTTCCCCATCCAGAATAAGGGAAGTCTGTTCTACGGCGAAACAACACCCCTTAGGAGAGACTTTCATCCCCCTCAGGAATAAGCTCTAGTTTTCCACAGTGAGAACAGGGTTAAAAACATACCTCCTTATTGCCTGCATTCCTTTTCCTATATTACTTCCTCTCGTCTACTAGTATCCCTTGCACCTTCCAAATAAAAGACTTGCCCTGAATCTTCCTGGAAGAACTTAAATGAAGAAATCCCATGCATTATATAATATTCTCTACCTAAAAAAATAGACTTACTCAGATCATGATTCAAATGATCAAGCTGCTGTGAAAGTGCATGGAGGTATTAAACTGTATAAATCTGAGGCACTAGCTTCATATGCCAGTCGGTATTTTTTAGTTTTTTACAGAATGCCTACAATAACATTCCCAGTTCAAAGAAAGAAAGCTTCCATTGTAACTTCACTCAAGTCCTAGAGTATTAGTTCTCTATCCTCAGAATTCTAAATCCTGTAGGGAAGGTAGAAAATCTAATGTGGATTTTTGAGGTGAATGGTAGGGGATGATGGTGTGTATACAATGGTAATATGAAAGGAAATGTAATTTCTACGTGGACCAGAAATAGACCATCTGCCTACTTCATTCATCTACTTCTTTGCATATGTTGTTGTTGTTATGTGCCTTCGAGTCGGACCCGACTCATAGTGACCCCTCCTTGGGTTTCCGAGGCAGTATCACTATGGAAGTAGATTGCCCCATCTTCCTTCCAAGGAGTGGCTGGTGGGTTTGAGACTCCAGCCTTCTGGTTAGCAGTCAAGTGCCTTAGGCACTACGCTATCAGAGCTCCCAAAATGTTGTTGTTGTTGTGTGCTGCCGAGTCTGACCCGACTCATAGCAACCCCTCCTAGAGATACTGCCTCTTTGCATATATAGTAGGTGCTTAATGTTTATTGACTACATTAGATTTGTAAGGATGACGTATTTTGTTGTTGTGATATTTTAAATAGATGTGACCAGACATAATGTTGTACTTACTTTGCCTGTTGTTGTTGTTGTTGTTTGCCGTTGAGTCGGCCCTGACTCATAGCGACCCCTCCTTGGGTTTCTGAGGCAGTATCATTACAGAAGTAGGATTGCCCAACCTTCCTTCCGAGGAGTGGCTGGTGGGTTTGACCGCCAGCCTTCTGGTGAGCAGTCAAGTGCCTTAGGCACTATGCTACCAGAGCTCCTAACATGTCCAAAATATGACTAGTGTTGAATTTGACTTACTGTGGCCAGTGTAGGAAGGAAAATAAGAAGTGCTGAGTTTATGCCTAAATTATTTCAATCTAAGTATGACCTAAGCTAGCAATGTTCTGAGCTAGCTACTCCATTGTGATAATTCATTCTTGGTTTCTGGACAGTGATGTTAATTTATCTGTTAATGACTATTTTGCAAATATTTGCAAGTGATGCCATTAGTTCATAGTGTTAGCAATTCATTTCTAGGCATTTTATGTTGCTGCCTGTAGAATTTCCTCTAGTAAAAATACTGCTTAAAGAAGAGATAATACATGTCTGTTATTCTACACCTTTTTATTCAGTAAATATTTACTTAGTGTCTGCTCATAGCCATGTTCTGTATTACATACTTAATGAGCACTAACCACCTATTAATTGATAGTTAGAAAAATGAAATACTAAGAATTAGTTTGTGAATGAGGAAAGAGATGATAAAGTGATGATGTGATGGGAACTCCCTTTGGGTAAGTCTCTAATCCAGTCTCCTATAATTATGGAAATAATAAAAGACACAGTACATATTGTCAAATTATCTTAAATTTATATCTAGTCCTCACCAAAAGGGCCTCCAGCGCTGATGTTACACCACTGTCTAGAGAACAGTGGTGATAACAACAGATAAATAAAAGATAAGCATTTCAATGCCACTTAAATACAACTGACTCAACGGCAATGAGGTTTTTTTATTTTATTTATTTATTTTTGGTTAAATATAATATCTAAAAGATGAAAGATTTCTATGAACTGAAGAGAAAATAGAGTATGGTGATGGAAAACTTGCATGCATTGATTAAGGGTAGAATTGCACGCCCAATTCTTGTAACTGCTATCAATAATCTGTACACCTGTAAGAGGTTGACTTGGCAAAAATTGTGTGAAAAATGTAATGATGACAAAAAAAAAAAGAGTAACTGAGGTTGTTTAAGTACTGGATTTTGTTGCTTGCTTTGGAGTTTTAAGGTCACGGTTTTATGAGACATCCCAGTTAAGTTTTGCTATTCTACCTCCTAGTTCACTGCATAGTGCCTGGGGCCTTAAAACCTTACAAGTGGCCATTCAAGGCACAACAATTGGTCTCTATAAACCTGGAGAGAAATAGCTAGAAGGAGAGTCAGGAATAGGGAGGAGATATAGAATGTGTGGCTGATTGCCTCCATGAACAACTGCCTCCTTTACCATGAGACCGGAAGAACTGAATAGAACCTGGCTACCATTACTGAACATTTTAATCAAAGATTCCATAAAAGTCCTGATCAAAAGAGGGAAAACACAGAGCAGAATTTCAAATTATCATGGACTCCAGACTTTCTGGAGCCATAGAAGGTAGATGAACCCCAGAAACTATTAACCTAAGATGATCTTTAAACCTTAAACTAAAAGCATCCACTGAAATCATCTTAAAACTGGAAAATAATTTAGCTTAAGTAGTTAAATAGTTCTGTCTTAAGCATTATGCTTTTTTAAGATCTATGCATAGGAGATATTCTAAATAACAACAGCAAAAATAGAATTAAAAAAACAATCATAATTAAACTTATTTTGTTGCTATATGAAACACCAAAAGAATGTATCAAATTGATGCAAAAGAAATGCAGCTGAATCAACTACCATAAATACTGCAGCTGACTTTCGATTTCTTTTCTGGCCAGCTAATGAATGATAGCACAGTACATGTGCGCTTTCTCAAAAAGAGAAATGTCTGAGATTAGATAGTCTATCCCTGGTGCTATCTCCCATGCACTCTGCTATTTGGAAAATGTCTGCTCTATCAGTGGAATTAATAATGCATTTTAAATGTTTCACATAGCAGTTTTTTATCTAAAGTATGGGAAACAATCTATTATTTGACCTAACATGGCATTCAAGGACCACCCAAATCAACCAATATTTCTAGTTATGTTCCATCTTGTGCCTTTATTCTCTAGGCAAATACAATTTTGTTCTGTTACCCACCCTCTCCCTCCCTACATTCTCTTGCTCCATGGTTTTTCTCAAACTGTCCCTTCTGCCTGAAATGCCCTTCCTCTCAGTGTGATTTATGACTGTCCCCGAAGGCCCAGCTCAAATGGCAACATTTTTATCGTCTTTCCTGACATTTTCATCTGAAATGCTCTTTTCCTTATTTCTATTGCAATTTTTCTGCCCTTTATTTTGACATTGATCACTTTCTCCTTTATTTCACATTTATTGTTGTATACATTTTATTTCCCTACTTTAATATAGGATAAAATGTTGTGACAAGTATACACTACTGTTCCTGGGAAAGAGCAATATAATTATGTATGAATAAAAATATTAACACATTCATTCTGATGATCTCTAGGAAAACAGGCAGGAGAATGGGGTAGTTAGCTTACAGCTGAGCTATGGACACAATGTAGCCGCTATTTAAAACATCATGAGAGTGGCTGTTGCTTTTCTTCTGTAGTTTCCCTCTGAAACCCTGGTAAGTGTTATGCTGTGATTTAAGGGCACTTTCCCCAAACAGAGATAAAGAGTCAACTCATCTGTATAGTCCATATAAATGACTCAAATTTTAGTTTGCACCAGATGCTAGTAAAAGCATGCTAAAAAGGAATAACAGAAAAGAGCAAAGTTTTATTTAAAAAAATAGATAAATTAGAAACTCATTTCCATTGACTTGATTTTGACTCAGAGTGACAGAGTAGAACTGCCCCATCAGGTTTCTAAGGCTGTAAATCTTTACGTAAGCAGACTGCAACATCTTTCTCTGGCAGAGCAATTGGTATGGTTGAACTGTGGATATTTGTATGGCAGCTGAATGCTTTATCCACTTCATCACCAGAGCTCCTTAAAAATAAATGAGAAGGTAGTTCTAGGTCTCTGAATTTCTACTTGTTGGGAAGCTA